AACATAAAACCATATTTTTTCTAACGGAAATTATAAATGAAACCATAAGACAGGGATCTCTAAAACTATAAATTCGAGTATAAAAGTATCAAAGTTAAAAAAATATAAAAAAATATAAAAGTTTAGCATAAAATAACACAAATCAGTAAATAACATGAACTAAAAAATACTAAGAAAAATGTAACACTTGGAAATCAAAACATAAAATAAACACTCTTTCAAAATACATTCTAAAAAACAATAATCAATAGAAATAAAAAAAATTAAAGAAAGAAAAGTTTTAAATTTCGTTTTTCTCAACCAAAATCGTCTATGATAAAGTTAAAAAATGTTACTAAAAAAAAGAAGTTGCAAAATGAGCGTGTTTTTTACTAGACGTGTGCAAAAAACAGCCGTTTTGAATCGTGTTTTATACAAGATTTTTTCCAATTTGTTTGTGAAAAGCATAGGCATCAAATTCGAATTTAAAATCTATGATTTCAATATTTTTCCAAAATAATACTAGGTCGTGGCGTTGCTATGAAAATAGTGCTATTTGTTTTCTTTATGTCACACTTTTTAACACTAGTGATAAAATAATGTCATATTTTATAACTAGTGATAAAATTAAACACATTTGATAACTAAAATGACATATCACAATTGTTGTTTTTCACAACAAAATTGGAAAAAAAAATAATTTACTCTAACGGAATAAAACTTATTCCGAAAAAATGTCTTAGGCTAACTTCCAGGGGGAAGTTCAAACGACGCCCATGCCAGGAACATGGAGAAAATGTTAAAAAAATTCTATCTGTTAAAAAAATTTGACATTATTTTGACGTTTGACATTTTTATGTTTATTTAATGATACTGATGATCTTGTATATGTTTTTTTTTTATAATTATTTAGTAAAGGTACAAAAATTTTGCCAATAAAAGTCACAAATAACATTATTCCTTGTGTCTTCTTCTAATAGCCTGTAGCAAGAAGACTTGTTGCAACAGAAATAAATAGAGTCAAAGTGCAAAATTTAAACTCTTTTTATAGATAGATTTTTTTTGACATCTTTTCCATGTTCCTGGTATCTTACCTTACATGGCATATTTCTCTGAGACGCGAGTTCTGGCGCACCCTGTATTTATTTTTTCTTCTTTAGTATTTAGAGAAACGCTTCGGGAAAGCTTCACGCCTCGCAGCCTCCTTGTCCTACACCCTTCAAATGACCTTGTACATGGGGATCGTCCTCTACGCCCCTGCGTTAGCCCTCGAGGCTTTGACTGGAATCAGTAAAGTAGCAGCGATTTTATCAGTGGGTCTTGTGTGTACTTTTTATTCGACGATTGGAGGCATGAAGGCTGTCTTAATGACGGATGTTTTCCAGTCGATTTTAATGTTTGCTGCTGTGTTTAGTATTATTATTTTTGCGGCTATTGAAAAGGGGAGTTTGGCGGAAATTTGGAGGATTGCCGAACGCGGAAATCGGACGGAATTATTAAAGTAATAGTTTTTTTTTCTCCGAGGAAAAAACGATTTTGTTTTGCTTTTTTTAGCTTTAATCCTGATCCCACCGAGAGACATTCTTGGTTTTCGTTGATCATTGGTGGCGGGATCACGTTTTTGTCGTTATATGCCGTTAATCAAACTCAAGTGCAACGATATTTGACTGTGAAGGATTTGAAAGCGGCGCAAAAAGCGCTGTGGCTGAATTGGCCCATTTTGACTTGTTTGAGTCTCAGTACGTCCTTTTCGGGGCTTGCGATTTATTCGAAATACTACAATTGTGATCCAGTTTCAGCCAAAGTTATCAACAGTGTTGATCAGGTATAAAAAGTAGAAGAAAAATGTTAAAATTTTAAGTTTGACATTTACGGGTCATTGACATCAGTACCAACCTTGTCAATGCCAAATCAAATATTAAAGTTCAATCATTAGAAACGTCAAATGTTGACGTTTTAAATTGTCATTGAATGACAAATAAATGACACTTATTTTCTCTATTTCGATAGTTAGGAAAAATCTGTCAGCCACTTTGTTGATTTGACATTTTTTTTAAAATCAAGTGATCAAGGGTGACTGTTTAAGTTGGCGATACTGAGTTTCGTTTTTTTACCGGATAAACTTCCGGTTAATGACATCCGTTATAATAATAACAAGATAATAACAATAAGAAAAATGTTAAGATTTAAGTTTGACATTTACGGGTCATTGATATCAATACCAATCTTGCATAAAAAAGGCACTGTCAATGGCAACGAAACGGAGAAAACAAAACCAAATATTCAATATTCAATCAAATTTTGACGTTTTAAACTGACTTTTAATGACAAATAATTAACACTTATTTTCTCTATTTCAATAGTTAGGAAAAATCTGTCAGTCACTTTTTTGATTCTATTTATTTGACATTTTTTCAAGTGATCAAGGGTAGCTGTTTAAGTCGGCGATACTGAATTTTGTTTTTTTTACCGGAAAAACTTCTGTTAAAAATAACATGGTTGCCATCTTACCAAAATTAAATTCACTAGTCCGAGCTCAAAAAGTTGCCAGATAGATTTATACCTATTTTTCTACTCCAAACGTGCTTAAACGCTCGAATTTTTGGTTTAATTTTTTTGTTTGTGTTTTCACCTGAAAAACATGCTGAAACACTGGAAAAAGACAAAAATAATGGCTTAATTTGGTGTTTTTTTTTGTAAAATCGAGCAAAAATAATTGAGATTTTAGTTTAAAAATGTGATTAAAGACTTGAAAAATGTGAAGTAACACCATTTTCGACTAAGTTTTGTGTTTTTGGCTTAATTTTTGATAAAATAATAATTTTTGACAAAATTAAGTCGAATGAAACAAATGAAAAAACATGAATATTTATTTTTATAATTTTTAGTCATGTTTTGACAAGATTGTTTGCACAAAAACGGACTAAATCGAGCGAAACAAGCTAAAATAACAGTAAGTTCAATCTAATTTGGTAATTTTTGAGCCAAAACTTGCTTGGACACTAAAAATGAAAAAATAACACCAATTCTGGCCTAATTAGGTAAATTATCGGCTTGTTTCAACGAAATTTTGAAAAATATGTAGTTAAAAATATACTAAAAACGGTTCGGTAAAAGCCAAAATAATGTGCTTTTTGACTCATTTTAGTGATTTTTTGACTCATTTTTGAGAATTTGGCAAAACAATTGAATTTTTGACTAAAATGCTGAAAAGATAATAATTTTACTAAAAAAAATAGTTCAAAATACATTAATTTTCAGTTACAACAGTTTTTTCATTTTTAACAAATTATCAGATATTGGAACTTTTACAAAAATTTTCACCTGGCAACACTGTTTTCAGGTCAGGCAGTGTTGCAATCATCCGAAAAGAAAATAGTTTCAATTCTGTTGCCAACTTACATTCTTGATCACTTATTTTTCAATTGAAAAAAATATTAATAATTTGTAGCTAATGCCCTTGTATGTGATGGACACGATGGGGGATATCCCGGGCCTCTCCGGCCTTTTCGTTGCTGGTATTTTCAGCGCTTCTTTATCCACCGTTTCAGCAGCACTTAACAGTTTAGCTGCTGTAACAGTAGAAGATTACTACAAGGTAACCACTCTTAGTTTTTGGTTTCATTTAATTTTTTATTTCTAGCCTTTATACAAATATATTGCGAAAAAACCTTTATCGGAGAAGAGAGTTTCTGTACAAACAAAACTAATTGCTTTATTTTTCGGCTTCGTATGTTTGGCTATTGCTTTTCTGGCCCAATTTCTAGGGGGTGTCCTTCAAGCTTCCTTGACAATATTTGGGGTCATAGGAGGACCGCTTTTAGCCCTTTTCACCCTAGGGATGTTTACAACCACTGCCAATGAAAAGGTAAATTGAGACATGATTGAATTTGGCGTAATTTTGTGTTTTAAGGGGGCTTTAGTTGGTCTTGTGTCAGGTATTTCTCTAGCTTTGTGGATGGCTTTTGGGAACCCCAAACCGCCTTTGCCTACGTTACCAGTGACAACAGAAGGATGTTCTGACGTTTTTTCGAATATTAGTATTACAAATGAGCCTTTAGTGAACAATTCAGACAATAAGTAATAATTTTTTTTGAATTATTCATAAGTGTGTTTTGTTTTAATTTCCGGTTTGCAGAGAATATTTTTGGTTATATAAAGTGTCGTATTTATACAATGGAGTTTTCGGCTTAGTTACCACATTAGTTGTTGGTTATTTGATGAGTTTTATTTTTAATCGAATTTATGGGAGGGAGGATCAACACTTGGACCCAAATTTGTTTATTCCACCGTTACAAAGAAGGCTGCAAAAGAGGGAATTATCACTTAATATGAAGCAATGGTCTGACTCCGAAGAGGATCTAAGAAGTAAAAACGTGTTGAAACGAAAATACTAACGTGTATTATTTTTCTAGAAGTACTTATTTATTATGTCACGTAAAATGTCTTCCATTAGAAAATAAATAAACCACATTGTGAGTTTGATTGAAATTGTTGTTTTTTTACCTTTTTTGATTATTTGTCAAAAATTTACAAGAAAGTGATTTTCAAGAAACTGAAAAACTTTTTGTTTAATTATAATAAAAGGAATTATTTATTTTAAAATCGGTAAAAACGACGTTTTGGAGCTTCTGTTGGTTCTAGAAATACAGAAAAGTTTATAAAACGTTTGAGAAAAATCGAATTTGGTGAATAAATTTCGTACACTCTACAAAGATTTCTTGTTTTCACATGGTTAACCGTAATTACAATACCTAATGTTAATGTTAATCATGATATATATATATATTTTTATTATATACTTTCTTATTATGTATTTTGGGGTTGTGCTGAGTACCGTAAAACGGGGTTACTTTGACATGGTGTTAATGTAATGATTTTTTTATTTGTTGCAATATTTTTTGAAAAAAATAGCATAAGAACAATTGATTAACAAACTTAAAATTTCACTCATTGGCTCTAAATATGAGGTGAAGGCGATAAAATTTTGCTTTCATCAATTTTATCGATTGAAATTTTTTACTCATTGTTGAATGACGAGATGCTATTGGCCGAAATGTAAATGAATTAAATAGTCAAGAATAAAATTTTTCGAAATTTTCATTTGTTTTTGAGTTCTACAAAAAATTTTATTTTTTTAAATAGCAACCCACTATAAAACTATTTTTCTTATAAAGATTATGATCTAAGGATTAAAACTATCTACTTCATATTTAATTTTTTGAAATTTTTTTTTACATAAATTGTAATTTTGACTAAAATCGCACAACTCAAAAACAAGACAAAATTTCGTTCTCAAATTTTTTATATTACGTTAATTTATATTAATTATTATTTTCTGAAGGCAAATGATTTCAAAAAAACCACTTGGTTCCATACTTTTTTTATTCACCCTGTATACCAAAGTACTTGAATAATGCAAAAGTAAATTGTTATTTTTGACCCTGTTCAGTAATATTTTGTAAAAAAACAAATAGAACTATTTTTACCCAACTTGTTGGTTTTCGATTTTGTTTTTTTTTTGTATACCCTCTTGAAAACAGCTGTTTTAGGGACTCATTAAGTTTCTAAAATGATTCTTTTCCGGATTCAATAAAATAGTAGGTTTGTAAAATGGTTATTTCAGGTACTAAGTCCCAAAAACCGTTTTTCCGGACAAAAAAGTCAATTTGGTTACTATGATGGCATTTTTTTTGTAATTAATAAGAAGTGTAATAGTTATTTTTGGTACAAGTGTTACAAACAACATTTTTTTTGTTAAAGCTCTCAATTCACACCTCTAATTTTATTTTTTAGTCCGGAAAAACTGTTTTTGGGACTGGGTACCTAAAACAACCAATTTACGTACTATTTTGGTGAGTCCGGAAAAGATTCATTTTAGAGACTTAAATAAATCCCTAAAACAGCTGTTTTTTGGGAGCGTACACAAATTGAAATTAAATTCACTGAAAATTATTCCAACAACTATCAACTGTTTTTTTTTTAATTTTATAAATTCCACTTTTTTTCAGATTTTAAGAGGAATTTATTCAGTCATATCGGTGATTGCATCAAAACTTCATCACTAATCAGAACAACAAGAATATTATTTAAAAAAAAAACAAAATATTGACTTGTATTCTAATTGTTACGATTGTTAACAAAATTAGCAAAAAAGTTTTAATAATTTGTTAAATGAAAAGCTGTTTTATTTTTTAACTTTGAAAGTTATTTATTTTTATTTAACTGGAGGTTTCATATATAGGGTGTATTAAGAAAATTAATACTAATTAAAAAGATAAAATCCTTCCTGCTTTAAACGATGGTTTATTAAAAAAAGTCAGTTAACAATAGTGTCTCACCAGAAGTCAGTTGACGTTGACAATAAAATTGATTAAATATTTATCAACTTGGCAATAATAATGGACATTTCAGGTCGCCAATCATTTTTACAAGAACAGTAATTCAAGAATGTTGAAATATTTGAAAAAAATATTGATATTGTAATTAAAATAAAATTATGTACTTCAATAAAATTAACATTTTATCCACAGCCAGTCTATTATTAGGTCATAATACTACTAGGAGACGTCTTATGATATCAATAGAACACATATTTAGGTCTTATAAATTTAATTTAATTTAGTACTTTTTGCTTTGTCAATGTTGAAATCACTTGAAAACGTTACAAAAAACACCAAATCTATGGCAAGCAAAACCGTAAATGCGTAATTATATTCTAAAATATCCGGTTTTTCACTGTTTTCTTATACAGAGTGTTCCGTTTTTATTATTACAAATTTAAACAGGTGATAGGATATTTAATTCTAAGACAAAAGTTTCCTATAAACATGTATCGAAAAATGCTTGGTAAGGGAGCTACACCCCCTGAAAGGGGGCTAATAGGTTTTTGTTAATATTTCAGAAACCATTTAAGATAAAATTACAAAATTTGGTACAGATAATAACCTTTATACACCTAAACGAATTCAAACATCAAATGTCGAAATTGTTAATCAGGGGCATCAGAAACTGGTAGGGTTTAGGGTAAAAAAATACCTATTTACTTTGGCTTTAGTTTCTTTAGTTATGCATTGAGCAAAATGGTCGTCACTTTGAACAACTCCTTTAGATTTAGGCAAATTCATTTACTTAATGTTTTTATTTGTTACTGTAATCTAATGTTAATTAGTTGAGGTTGATTAAAAAATATGAATTTCTTGCTTTTATTATTCAGTAAATTCTGATTTATTTGAATGTTGTATTGGTGTATAACATAAATTTTAAATTAATTTTATTCAAAAACAATAAGTCGTATCGACACAAGAGAGACTTTTCTGTGATAAACTATCGAACTTAAGATTTTGTTGCTGAAAGTACCGAGAAACTAAAGTCAAAATAAATAGGGTATTTTTTTACCCTAAACTCCCCTAGTTTCGTACGCCCCTGATTAAAAATTTCGACATTTGATGTTTGAATTCGTTTAGGTGTATAAAGGTTATCATCTGTACCAAATTTTGTAATTTTATCTTAAATGGTTTCTGAAATATTAGCAAAAACATGTTAGCCCTTTTCCAGGGGGTGTAGCTCCGTTACCAAGCATTTTTCGAAACATGTTTATAGGAAACTTTTGTCTTAGAATTGAATATCCTATCACCTGTTTAAATTTGTAACAATAAAAACGGAGCACCCTGTATAAAAAAGCAAAAATCAGAAAAAGTTTTTGTTGTTACTTTTACTTACAATTGTTAGTTTCAAAGATTCCAAGAAAGCAATAATTAAAAATTATTTTTGTTTTATTTATTTTTTTACAAAACGGAATCAGTTTTTGTTAGTTGGATGTTGGAGTTCCAGAAACTGCGATGAAACCGGATTTTACTGAAGCAAATCGCAAGTTCCCCTCTTTCCGACTCCGGTTGAAAAATCACAAACATAAATCCCAACAAAATTCCATCTTTGCTAAGTGAATTCAGGTTTGGCAAAAAGTCTAGAACTTTGAACCTTTTTTTCTAATTGTGTAGTCCACCTGTGAAAAATTTAAATTTCAAATAAGTTTTTTGCCACTTTTGAGCACTTATGATTGATTGAAGCCAAAATTTACATAATTGCGAAGACAGTAATTTTAGTCGGAACCAAAACGTGTCAAGCGGAATGCCATGCACATTTCAATTGATCCCAATCAGAAGAAATAATTAAAAGACGACGACTTCTCTGTTTTATTATTTTTATTACTCTAGCCGGCTTAAGTCAGCACAACACAGGTTTTGCGTTGGTTTAATCTGGTTTTTACCGCCAAATTAAGATTTATCCGGTAATGCCTTTCCTTAGGGGACACTTTCCCGTTAAATTGTTTGTTTTCAAGCTGGCTTTTTTAAAAATTCATAATAGATTTATCAAGACTGGTTATTTATTAATTTTATGTATACAAATTTGAAAAATGTAGTTAAAACCAGTAAAATGACGCAACTCGTGGTGCTCATAGTTTTAAGAAAAGGATTAATGAAATTGTTCTTGATTTCAATAAAACTGTTGTTTTCTTACACACGATAATTAAAAAAGGCTTCGTGATGGAGACAAATTTAGCAACAGCGAACCGCCTAGTCATTAGCTCGAATCTATGAGCGTTAGGTTTTCAATTTTCAAAATTTGGGAATTTGAGTTTAGTTAATTTTTGGCTTAATATTTTCAAATTGGCAAAAGCCAAGGGCCAGGGCCCTTTTCATAATTGATTAAAGTCAGTTTATTCTCACTCCAAGATTACGCAATAAAAAAATAAAAGCCCAAAACTGTGATAAAAAGCTTCAAATTGATCAAGGTTACAAATGTTAAAAAGCAATTTTTTTATTGTGAAAACTTCCAATATTTTATCCCTTCTCCCAATAGTGAATTAATTACCAACATATTTATTGGTGGTAGACTCTGGTAAATTTTCAGTCCTCCGTGCAACTGTTCGGTGCTTTTGAGTGTTTTAAAGTGTTGAAAATTTTCACATTTATTTATTCGAATGAAATACAGAAGTCGATCAAATCGACAAATCATTCAAATCCAGTTTAGAAGTTTCTTGAGGTGAAGACTGAAGTGGTTTGTGACGAAATCGAATAAGGTTGTGCCAAATAGTGAGTATCTTCTGAATTTACATTAATTACAAGAGTTGATTTCAATTTTTTTATTCTTTGCAAAATATAGTTTAAAAAACTGATTTTTTAATTTTTAGATGGTTTCATGATTTCCTCTGATCTGTTTTTATTTTCTCATGAATTCTTCTGATTTCCTATGATTTCCTTAATTTATCCTGATACCTCATAATTTCCTCAGATTTCTTCACTATTTCCTCTTATTTCCTTATACTCGTAATTCCTCCCAATTTTCTCATAATTTTCTTTGATTTCTTTATGATTTTCTTTGATTTCGTCATGGTTTCCTTATTTTCTTTTAATTTGTTCATAATTTGCTCTGATTTATTTTGATCTTCCCATGATTTCTCTTGAATTTCTCTGATTACCTCTGATTTCCCCATGTTTAAGAGATTTCCTCAGAATTTTTCTATTTTACCCTAATTTC